CCCCAAAACCCCAAAACCCCAAAACCCCAAAACCCCATAATTTTTAACCTTAGCTGAATTTGATTATTTAAGTGCCATTTCTGTTAGGGGATTTCACTTAAAAAGATCGAACTCTGAGGCTCTCTATAGGATGGATTAGCAGGACTCTTACTTCTCACGCTTGATACTCAATGATTTCTTGGAGAGGACAGACTTCCCAGAAGCTCTGGAGAATTTCCTGTTCTTATGTCTCTTTGATTTTCCTTTCTTTTTATATGACTTCCTTGCTTCCTCCCAAATCTAGATGTAATTATATCAAAATTACTTTTCTTTGTTCTTTTTCTTTCTTCTTTCGTAATCTTTCCTTGTAAAATACCTGAATAATCGCTACACTTTTAGTGAAGTTAATGAATTTAGACTGGATGTGTTTTCTAAACGAAACTTCATCTATACATCATGGTTAGGGAAATCAGAGGGGAATTTACCCAAGATCCATCGCACTCATTGAGACGCTTTCTCTACATACCAGTCATTCTGAATCACATGGGAGAAGCTTAAAGATTGTCTGATCCTAGAGACATTCCTGTCATATAGTGTTGGGGCTAAATTAAGGGCTGATTTTTGGTAGTTTTTGTGGATCTTCTTTGATGCAAATCTCATCCGGTTCTTCAAAACCATCTCTTCCTTCTTCTTGGATGCTTCATTTCGAAGAATTCTCAAAACTTGTCTTATATTGTATAGAGTGAAGATGTGCTTAGCTCTGGCTTTATTTAATTTTCGTTTTTAGAACCATCTGTTTTTCCCTATCACAATTTTTCCTGAAGATTTCCCACCGTTGGTTATCATAGATCTTCTTCTCTCGATCTAGAGCTTCTTTGTAGTATCTTCTATTTTTCACATGGAATACTTTTTGGTCGTAACTATAGGGTTTGCTCACTTCTTACCTAGTCTTCCTCACTCGGTTATACCCTTCAGGGAAGGAGATATTCTTCTTCACAAAATTCTCAGTATGTTTGGCAGTTTTTTTGCTATTTATGCTTCTGTTTGATGTTGTCTAAAATAGCTTCAAATTTCTTCAGCTTGAAAGGATTGTCAATGAGATACTCAATATCTCTCTCAATACGGTCCTCAAGGTCCTTATGACGCATAGAGCCATTCTTTACAACTGAAGAAGTATTTAGGCTTTTTGCGTTTCTTCTGAGCCTTGCTTTTCTTTGTGAAATAGATTGGTCTATATCTACCAACGAGTTCTTACGATCCTGAGGCTCTGCCACTTTCTCAGCTGAGGTTCCTGGACGGCCTGCGTTAAGGATGTATCCTTCTTCATATTCAGTGTTCCTACTATATAAGAGATGAGATACTTTGATTTGTCATGAGTTCCAGCAAGGCTCTTCGCAGGTGCATTAAGGCCATGCAGAGTTTGTAAAATGCCTTTGATCTTAGAATCCGCCTTATTTTATCAATTTTCCTGTATCAATGTTGTAGCTTGAGATGTTAGCCTTGGAGCACCTCTAAAGAGAGTTAGAAGGATCATCAGAATATTCGTGGTGAGTGAAAAACTCAGTTTAAATTTTTGAATAACATCTTATGCACAGAATTTTATTATTTACTTCTTTCCTGGACATTTTATCTAAAGAGACCTGGATTTGAGAATTTTGGAAATTTGTTGAATCTGATATGGTATTGCTTGAATTAAACAATGATCGCGGTTGATGACCTTTTTCTGCACTAAAATTGTTCCTTGCTATAAAGATATCAAGAGTGTATACTTTTGTATATCGACTCAGTTGGATGAAAATTAATGTAATGTGAAGCACTCTTATTGTTCCAAGGATCTATAATACATTATTTCCAAATTTTTTAATTTAGTACTAAAGCTGACAAATTCTAAATTCAAAGGATTTTTTTTTTTTATTTATCAAACATCAATCTCTCGAATTCCCAAACAAAGTAACAAATTAATCATAAAATAATACTTTTCTCTTTCTCAGAGTAAGGATCTGGACTTCTGTTTTGATTTCTTAGTCGATTTTTCCTAACCAATTAGCCTAAAATGTACCGTATTGAAAAACTCTGGTTCATTTTCGAATTCCGTGTCCGATCTAACCAAAATTATTAAATTTCCTCAATAAATTCAATGAATTTACTATTCAATTTCCTGCTTTTGATTCTCCGCCGACTCACATTTGTGCTTTACAAGGTTAGCACACACTTACAGATATAGAGGCTTAGATGAGGGAAACTCAAGCTTTTGTTGACAATTAAGGTGTGTCAGAACCCCTTCCAATCCTTTTTGAGGATAATAACTTGCACTAGAACCAGGCTTTGAATTGAGATCCATTTTTAAATTTTTTGATTAAAACTGGGGTTTTGGGGTTTTGGGGTTTTGGGGTTTTGGGG